GTAAAGTGCATTTGTAATTTCTGGTTTTGTTCTTATTTTATTTTATTTTTTTTTTTAGGAGGAGTGCAGCTTCCAGAGACTCCAGGTTGTGTCAACTACAACACTTTTTTCAGCAGATTCATCACGTCACAAGAGGGATCTGCCCAGGGTCCAAGATGATGTTTGAGATTGAGGCTTCAGGTGAGTTGAGGATTGTGATTAGGAGAGGGAGGCTGAGCGGGTATCTAGTTAGGAGTTATTGTTGGGGGGGGTGGTTTTGAAGGCAGCAGGGTGAAAAAGGGTGTCTATTTGAGCCCCCCACCCAAGGCCTTTTAGAAGCCGAGCAGAGGCATTCACACGTCTTACAGCACACAAGGTCACCCACTGCACTCACAGGAATGCCATTTCACTTTACCTTTCTCTAACCCAGGTGCCACTCATAATAATGGCCACAGCCTTAGAATCAGGATGAAGCTGGAGCCTGAAGGAGCCAGGCACACTCAGGAGAGGGCAAGTAGCTGACTCGCTGGGATTTGGCCCACATACCTCTGTACTCATACTTTGGTTTTGTTTTTCTTTTTTGTAGCTGACCGAGGGGCTAACAGGCAATCATGGGGCCCTCCGAGGCAGACTCATTTCAGGTGCAACGTGGATCCACATCACCAATCATCCAAAAGATAAGTCAGGGCCACGGCCTGGAGTTGGGACAATGGGAGAGTAGCGGGTTGGGAGTTCGTGGGACAGATTTAAAAATTAGCAGAGGGAAAAGCAATCTTCTCCAAGGGGCCTCTTAGGACAGCTAAAGGGAGAGGTTCTACTTTTGATGGCAGCTTTCAGGCGGGCAGCACAGAACAGTTCCGGTCGACATCGTGTTGTCCGGTGTACCGTGTTACCTAGTGTGTCTTTGGGGTCCCTTTTGCCTTTTCCCCTCGAGACCCTCACCACAAGCATAATGTGTTGTGTTTGTTGTCCCCCTGTTTGTCACATTCCGTGTCACGGGTGTCCGCACATATTTGTGCCGGAGCTGCTCTGCCCTGCCCTGCCGCATAGCCTGCTGCAAGCGGACAAGTCCCAGGGACTTGCAGTTTGTGGGGTGTTGCCAGACTCTAGATGATATTCCTAGATAGACAGGAAATGTTTGGAGCTGTGAAGTTATCCTGCAGCCCTTTGACTTTTGTCCTCACTTTCTTTCAGACGCAGAAGGATAAAATCCAGGGCAAAATCCATCCACCCATCCCGAGTGAGGAGGTTCCCCCGAGCAGGTCAGTCACCGTTTGTCTCTGCAGGGGAAGTGTAAAGTGTGACTCTGTTACAGCTCTGTTCTTTTTCTTTTTAGGAGGTAAAGCTGGATATCAGCAGTCAAGGTGAGGTGGCCAAGGTGAGCATTGAGTAGCGTACAGAAGCAGTTGTTATTGCTCCAGTCTCACTTTCCGGTGCAACTCTAAGCATCTGTTCCTGTTTCTGCACTTTAGGCAATGCGCTCGGAGTACACCGAGCCCCTGTCACCAGCTGGCCGACGCACCGGGTTCCCTGCACGTGTGAGCCCTGTGGACGAGTTACAGGACCTGGTGAGGAAGCCCTGAACTCTTCCATTTAAAGGTGCCATCCAGGTGGCCCTCAGCAGCTGCCAAGGAGTTGCGGTGAGTCGGGGAAGTAGGGAGGAGGAGCGAGGGTCCACTCAGGTTTCAGCCATGCCAAATCACCTCATCTCCTCTTAACCCAGGCACCCCCTGTGACGACGGCCTCGGTCTCCGAGCGTGCCCGAAGCGTGCGGCCTGAGCAGCTGAGCCTTCTTAGGAGCACGGTGAGTAGCAGACTTGTGGGGTTTTGGCCGATGGGCTGCCAAGATCAGGTAATGATGTTTGGTTTTCTTTAATACAGCTGTCTAAGAGACACCAGCCTGGTGCCAGCAGGAGCTTCCCAGCTGACGAGGTGGCCTTTCTTCGCACCCGAGACCGGCATCCCTAGCTGTGCGAGAGATAAGTAGAGGGCCACGACCCACAGAGGGGATGAAAGCAGGATGCTGGTTTGGGAATTACTGGGAGGGGTTTTTGAGTCTGCTTTGGAGGTGGGGGGTGTCCATGAAGCGGTCCCTTAGGCCCCATAAATCAAAGTCTCACTTTGGATCTCAGTGCTGAGGTGTGTAGGGCAGAGCAGTCCCGGTGTGTATCGTGTCACTTGTCTATTGTGCATTATGTGTGTTTGGATATGTCATGTCTTTTACCTTAGGCCTTGGAGGGGCCTGTCAGAAAACCTGGCATCATTGTTAGCATCTGTGCTCTCTGCATTCCTCGGGCTGGCACCAATGCCATAGAACTTTGGACTCAGGAGCTCAGACAGGCATCAGACTCTCTTGTCTCTTTAGAAGCATCCGGTCAGCTGTCTTTTCAGGTCTTGTTCTGAGCTGTGTGGACAGCTGTGCCCCGCCAGGATCCATTATGGCGGACTAGGACTTGAAAGAACATGAGGGCAGGTAGAGGCTTCTGGCCGTAGGATTCTCAGGCATCCATCTTTGCAGTTCTTGGAATAAATCATTCGGTTAGCATCTTCTTCCTCCAGGTTTCTCTGAGCCTCATCAGCTCACCATTGGTCTCCCCTCGGTCATCCCCTTTTGCATTCTCTCAGTCCTCGCAGCCATTTTCCTTGCCCAGAGATTTCTGTCCGTGTTGTGTCCCCGTTGTCTGTCACGTCCTGTCCTGTGTCACTGGTGTCTGCACACATTTGTGCCGGAGCTGCTCTGCCCTGCCGCATAGCCTGGTGTAATAGGAGAAGTCCTGGGGACTTGAAGTTTGTAATGTGGGGTGTAGTTGGACTTTAGATGGGATTTGTAGATGGACACAGGATATGTGGAGCTCTTAAGTTATCCTGCAACAGCTTGACCCTCGTCCTGACATTTTTTTCAGATTCAGATGGATTAAATGTGTGCCAGAGGGCCCCATCCCGGGTGTGTGGTTTCCCCCGAGCAGGTGAGGCACCATTTGTCTCTGCAGCAGAAGTGTATGTGGTGACTCTGTTACAGCTCTGTTCTTTGTCCTTCTTTTTAGGAAGTAAATCTGGATACCAGCAGTCAAGGTGAGCAGCGGAGAGAAGTAGTTGTTATTGCTCCAGTCTCAGTTTCCGGTGCTGCTCTAAGCTTCCATTCTCTTTTTTGTGGTTTAGGCAATCCACTCGGAGCCTGCCACGCCCCCGTCACCAGCCGGCCGATGCACCGGGTTCCCTGCATGTGTGAGCCCTGTGGATGCGTTACAGGACCTGGTGATGAAACCCTGAACTCTTCCGTTTAAAGGTGCCATCCAGGTGGCCCTCAGCAGCTGCCAAGGAGTTGCGGTGAGTCGGGGAAGTAGGGAGGAGGAGCGAGGGTCCCCTCAGGTTTCAGCCATGCCAAATCACCTCATCTCCTCTTAACCCAGGCACCCTCCGTGACGACGGCCTCGGTCTCCGAGTGTGCCCGAAGCGTGCAGCCCGAGCAGCTGAGCGTTCTTAGGAGCAGGGTGAGTAGCAGACTTGTGGGGTTTTGGCCGATGGGCTGCCAAGATCAGGCACTGATGTTTGGTTTTCTTTAATACAGCTGTGTGAGAGACACCAGCCCGGTGCCAGCAGGAGCTTCCCGGCTGACGAGGTGGCCTTTCTTCACACCCGAGACCGGCATCCCCAGCTGTGCGAGAGATAAGTAGAGGGCCACGACCCACAGAGGGGATGAAAGCAGGATGCTGGTTTGGGAATTACTGGGAGGGGTTTTTGAGTCCACTTAGGAGTTGGGGGGGTGTCCTTGAAGTGGCCCCTTAGGCCCCATAAAAGCAAAACCTGACTTTGGATCACAGTGCTGAGGTGCGCAGGGCAGAGCAGTCCCGGTGTGTATCGTGTCACTTGTCTTTTGTGTATTATGTGTTGTTTCGATATGTCATGTTCTTTACCTTAGCCCTTTGTGGGGCCTGTCAGAAACCCTGGCATTATTGTTAGCATCTGTGATCTCTGCATTCCTTGGCCTGGCACCCAGGCCATAGAACTTTCTCCTCAGGAGCTCAGGCATCAGACTCTCCTGTCTCTTTAGAAGCATCCGGTCAGATGTCTTTTCAGGTCTTGTTCTGAGCTGTATGGACAACTGCAGCCTGGAAGGTTCTATTATGGTGGACTAGGACTTGTAAGAATGTGAGGACATGTAGAGGATTCTGACCGTAGGCCTCCTGGGCATTCATCTTTGCAGTTTTTGGACTAAATGATTCAGTTTAGCATCTTCTTTCTCCAGGGTTCTCTGAGCCTCATCAGCTCGCCATCGGTCTTACCTCAGTCGTCTAATTTTGTGTCCTTGTGCTCCTTGCAGTAATGCTTCTTGTCTCAAGATTTCTGTCTGTGTCTTGTGTACATTGTTTGTCACGTCCTGTCTGTCCTGTGTCACGGGTGTCTGCACACAATTGTGCCGGAGCTGCTCTGCCCTGCCACATAGCCTGGTGCAATAGGAGAAGTTGCGGGGACTTGGAGTTTGTAATGTGGGGTGTGGTTGGACTCTAGGTGCGATGTGTAGATGCACATAAGATATCTGGAGCTCTTAAGTTATCCTGCAGCCCTTTGACTTTTGTCCTAACTTTCTTTCAGATGCAGAAGGATAAAATCCAGGGCAGAGCCCCCCATCCCAGGTGAGGGGATTGCCCCGAGCAGGTCAGTCACCATTTGTCTCTGCAGAGGAAGCATAAATGGTGGCCGTTACAGCATTGTTCTTTGTCTCTCTTTTTAGGAGGTCAAGGCTGAGAGCAGCAGTCAAGGCCGAGTGGGCAAGGTGAGCATTGAGTAGCGTACAGAAGCAGTACGTTGCTGATGTCTCAGTTTCTGGTGCAGCTCTAAGCATCTCCTCTTGTTTTTTTTTATTGTAGGTGGTCCACTTGCCATCTATCCTGCCCAAGCATGCCCATGCCAGGTGGGTGAGAGCTTAAGGTATCAGTGTGGCATCCTTGTCAGATTTGGGAGGTTGCTTTTCTCAGCATGCTTTTCTGCTTTGTTTCATTGCAGGTGCTGTCACTGCCCTAGGCCCGCCAAGGAACAGAGGAGGGCAGGTGAGTCGGAGTTTAGGCAGGCTGACCCATAGGTGAGCGTTACACCGCAGCATGCTAAGCGTGTCCCTTTTCTTTTTGCAGGTATGTTCCGGGCAGCCTCCGGAGTCAAATCAAGATTTGAGGTGAGCTGGGGCAGTGGTGCGGAGGAGTCCCGGGGATTACTGTTTTTGAGGGCAATAGTCAGGTTTTCTGTTTTGTCTTAGGTACCCTGAGGAGGCTCGTAGCTAAAGCTTGGAAACGGCAGCACCGAGGCACACACGGAGAGCATCTCCACGACCCTAACCCACGTCCACGTCCGACCGAGGATGGATTTTGACCGCTCCTCTTCCAAAAGCTAAGTGTCGGGGCCAGTGGTCGGGAGCAGAGGAAAAGCCTTTACTCTCACAGGAGGCAATCAGATGTCAGCTTAGGGGACAGGTCTGTAGCGGGGCGGGCTCTCTGGAAGTAAAGGGAGAGGGTTTCCCCTCAGCCTCGCCAGAGCCTTTGCCGGGCAGGGCAGTTCCAACCCATCTCCACGTTCTCGGGAACTTTGCGTCGTCCGCCTCCCCCGACTCGACGTCGTCACGGATCTTTTCCCCGAGGAGCTCGCCTTCACGTCCGGAGCTACGGCCACGGTCACCCAGCAGTCGGCTTCCTTCTCTAGGCTCGCCGAGCCTCTCGAGCATCCTCTTAACTGCTTCAGCACTAACTTCTTTTGAGGAGTTCCATTTCATCATCACGTTCTCTCGTCATAGGGCTTCCTTTCCTTTGGCATCATCAGCCTCTGGCTCATCTTGCACTAGGAATCTCAGGTCCCTAAGGGGACAGTGCCAGGCAGTTGCCACTCGTCTCTGTGTTATGTCTTCTGTGTCTATGTTATGTTGTCTGTGTCTGTGTTATGTAGTCTGTGTCCATCGTCTTATGTGTCACAGGCCTTTGTTATGTCTCAATGCTTTATCGGCACTATTCCGTGCCACGTAGGCCATATTGTACTCACGTTCCTTTCCGGATATCCCTTATTCCGGCATCTTTACATTTTTACTCTTTGAAACAGGAATGTCTTAAAGGGACAAGATGTTGTCATCCGTCTTCCTTCTCACTACCGGCTTTGGTAGTGCCTTTTTTTCCACGCCATTGTCTTGGACTTCCTGAGGGAGCGTCTTACACCCTCCTCACGTGACTGTAGGAGTTTGATAGGTTCCATCTTCCCAAGGGGTTTAGGGCTCAAGAATTAATCTTCCAGAGAGCTATCTCAAGTCCTGGCTTACATTGCATGTACCTACGCTGGCTTATACTGTATGTACTTACACTGCGTGTACCTGTGTTGGCTTATACTGTATGTAGTTATATTGTGCATGCCTATGCTGGTTTATACTGTATGTACTTACACTGTATGTGCTTACACTGTGCGTACCTGTGTTGACTTATACTGTATGTACTTACACTGTGTGTACCTATGCCGACTTATACTGTATGTACTTATACTTTATGTACCTATGCTGGATTATACTGTATGTACTTACATTGTGTGTACCTTTGTTGGCTTATACTGTATGTACTTACACTGTACCACTTAAGGTCGGAGCTGCCCTGCCCTGGCATGTAGTCACAGTTAGGTAGAAGAGTTATAAAAACTTTACTGTTCATCTGTCTTTAATGAGGTTTTGGGTAGAATATTTATCAGTCAGAGCGGGGACAAGTCCTAGCTGTCAGATAGCCACTCATCGACCGCTTCCTGTCGTCTCACAGGTCCCCGAGGCTACCGATTTCCCCAGAATCTACCATTTGACGTCGAGGAGCGGCAGCATCCGAAGCACGTTCTTCAGCGTCTCGAGTAAGAGCCACACCAAGCACGTAAGCGGGAAGAGCGGGAGCGACAGCACGTGTCTGTCTGAGTCCGCTCGTCTCTGAGCGTGTGAGCGCATACTGACGGGATTTAACCTTGTGTGTGTGACTTTTGCTTTTCAGGTTTTTCAACTCATTTTTAAATTTAGAATAAAAAATCCCCAGCCGGGGGGTTTTTTTTTTTTTCCCCCCGGCTGGGTTTTTTTTTCCCCGGTCCCGGTCGGTCAGCGAGGCGACGTTCATCGCCAAAGTTTGGGCGCGGACCGTCCAGGGACCGGGGTTTTCGTCAGGCAGGAGGATTTTTTGGAGGCTCCCGGGAACCACGTTCCCGAGGAGGGGCGCGAGCGTGTGCTGAGGGTTAGCAGAGCGGTCGAGGTCCGATTTAGTGTGGGTTTGTGTGTAAGCTGAAGGCAGTGTGTGTGTGTTGAAGGGTTGTAGGGTTGTAACCTTGTATGACTTTTGCCTTTCAGGTTTTTCAACTCATTTTTAAATTTAGAATAAAAAATCCCCAGCCGGGGGGTTTTTTTTTTTTCCCCCCGGCTGGGTTTTTTTTTCCCGGGTCCCGGTCGGTCAGCGAGGCGACGTTCATCGCCAAAGTTTGGGCGCGGACCGTCCAGGGACCGGGGTTTTCGTCAGGCAGGAGGATTTTTCGGGGGCTCCCGGGAACCACGTTCCCGAGGAGGGGCGTGAGCGCGTGCCGGGGGTTAGCAGAGCGGTCGAGGTCCGATTTAGTGTGGGTTTGTGTGTAAGCTGAAGGCAGTGTGTGTGTGTTGAAGGGTTGTAGGGTTGTAACCTTGTATGACTCTTGCTTTTCAGGTTTTTCAACTCATTTTTAAATTTAGAATAAAAAATCCCCAGCCGGGGGGTTTTTTTTTTTTTCCCCCCGGCTGGGTTTTTTTTTCCCGGGTCCCGGTCGGTCAGCGAGGCGACGTTCATCGCCAAAGTTTGGGCGCGGACCGTCCAGGGACCGGGGTTTTCGTCAGGCAGGAGGATTTTTCGGGGGCTCCCGGGAACCACGTTCCCGAGGAGGGGCGTGAGCGCGTGCCGGGGGTTAGCAGAGCGGTCGAGGTCCGATTTAGTGTGGGTTTGTGTGTAAGCTGAAGGCAGTGTGTGTGTGTTGAAGGGTTGTAGGGTTGTAACCTTGTATGACTCTTGCTTTTCAGGTTTTTCAACTCATTTTTAAATTTAGAATAAAAAATCCCCAGCCGGGGGGTTTTTTTTTTTTTCCCCCCGGCTGGGTTTTTTTTTCCCGGGTCCCGGTCGGTCAGCGAGGCGACGTTCATCGCCAAAGTTTGGGCGCGGACCGTCCAGGGACCGGGGTTTTCGTCAGGCAGGAGGATTTTTCGGGGGCTCCCGGGAACCACGTTCCCGAGGAGCAATGATTACTGGGGTGTAATTTAGCAGTTGTGATGAGAGGGATGGTGAGTTTGTGTCTAATATGAAGGGGGTGTTAATGGTAGATGAGTGTTGCTTTCTGTGGGTTTTGTTGCTTTGGGTGTCCTGTAACAATAAATCAACCTGTAATGAAAATAGAACAAGGTTATCATCTTGTGTTAGTATGTGTTGTATTGCTCTGTATTGCTCTGTATTGCATTTGTATTAACTGCTGCCATTTTGCTGTATTGCTCTATGTGTAAATTAGACTTTTACCAGTGTGTCTATGGATTGTATCTGCGCTTGCATTTGTATACACTGTTTCCATGTATTTTGCTGATGCATAAATAAAAACATTTTTTTAATAAAGTTGAGTCACCCCTAATAAAGATACCCCCTGCCCTTCAGTACCCCCACTGTGGCTCCTGTCTTATTTTGGTGTGGTTTTGTCATTTCTTTCCACCCTATTTTTTCCTTTTGCCCCTCACTTTACTCTTCTATTTGTAACTTAACTTCCATCTATCTCTAACCCTTTGTTTCTGTTGCCTTTATAACTGTCAATCTCAGTCTTCTCGCTTCATTTTCTCTCTGTGTTCTCCTTTTCCTCGGTCTGTGTTTTTTGCTCTTAGTCTTTTCCTTTTTCTCCCCACTCCTAAGTTTTACTTTCACTCTAATCCTAACTGCTTTCTTTTCCTTCTAACTCCTGTCCTTCTTCAGTTCTCCCACCCTCCTTTTCCTGTCTCACTCTTGTCTTCCTGTTTTATTTTCTTCTCTGTCTTCTTGTCTCTCCTCTGTCTTTTCTCTCTGTCTCTTCTCCCTGTCTGTCTCTGTCCTCTGCATTTCTGTTCTTTCTCTTTGTCCCTGTACTCTCCTCCTCTCTCTTTGTCTCTCCCTCTATTCTGTCCTTACTCTTTTCTCCCTCTCTTTTCTCTTTGCTTCTCCTTTCTCTCTTTGCTTCTCTCTGCTCCTGTCTCTTTGCTTCTCTCTTTGCTTCTCTCTCTTTTCTCTTTGCTTCTCTTTTCTCTCTTTGCTTCTCTCTCTGCTCCTCTCTTCTCTCTTTGCTCCTCTCTTTGCTCCTCTCTTTGCTCCTCTCTTTGCTCCTCTCTTTGCTCCTCTCTTTGCTCCTCTCTTTGCTTCTCTCTTTGCTTCTCTGTCTGCTTCTCTGTCTGCTTCTCTCTTCGCTTCTCTCTCTTCTTTCTTTGCTTCTCTGTCTCTCTCTTCTTTCTTTGCTTCTCTCTCTCTCTCTTCTTTCTTTGCTTCTGTGTCTCTCTCTCTCTTCTTTCTTTGCTTCTCTCTCTCTCTTCTTTCTTTGCTTCTCTCTCTCTCCCTCTCTCGCTTCTTTCTTTGCTTCTCTCTCTCTCTTCTTTCTTTGCTTCTCTCTCTGTCTCTCTCTCTCTCTCTCTTCTTTCTTTGCTTCTCTCTCTCTCTCCTTCTCTTTCTAACTTTGTTTTCCTTTCTAGCTTTAGTTTAAAAAAGCAGCAGTAGAAACTTTCAGGCTCCCTGGGAGTAAAAGAAAAAAAATAAAATAATTTAAAAAAACAAACCATTTACTCCCCGGGAGCCTGAAATTTCCTACTGCTGCACCAGACATATAGTTTTTCTTCTTTTTACTATATACAGTATATAGGGTTCCCACCTGTCACCAATCAATACTAATCAGTAGTCCACATCTACACACCCCTCCCATGGTGCCCCCACCACTACATCCCACACACCCCACCCCCATGGCCGCCCCCCCTCGCCAGACCCACCCCCTGCAATCCAGCACCCCACCCCATGCCATTTACATATAGATCATGCAGTCACAGCGCCACCTGCCGTCTACCCGCGAGTACTGCACTCACAGCGCCACCTGGTGTTTGCCCGCGAGTACTGCACTCACAGCGCCACCTGGTGTTTGCCCGCGAGTACTGCACTCACAGCGCCACCTGGTGCTTGCCGGCCGGTACTGCATGCACAGCGCCCCCTGCTGCCTACTCCCCGGTACTGCACGCACAGCGCCCCCTGCCGCTCACCCCGCAGTACTGCACCCGCGGCGCGCCCCCGATGACGTCACCAGCGCGACACGCCCCAGAAAGGACCCCGG